CTCCATCGGCTCGGCCGGGACAAATCGCAGTTTTCCCTTGGTGCCGAATAAGCAGCGCAACAGAGGGAATACCGCCAGCACAGTCGTGCCGGCTGTTAGCATCGCCGTTTCGACACCGGAATCTGTTTACTTGACGCCAGATCAGGAGCTCAGGAGTATTTCGAGCGTGCTCCTGAGCGAGACGGCGAGTGTGTGCGAACAGCAACAGGAAACGGAGAATCAGCGAGCGGATTCGAGGTTGACGAGCAACAGTCTTGACAACCCGGCGGCTCTGCAGGCTCTTTTGCGCGAGGACAAGTACCTTGTCGAGAGACTGGTGGCCAGTCTGGGTAAGTGCGTTTTGGGATTGACGGAGAATGGAAGGGCAAGTGCGGAGAGTAGGATGTATAGGCGGAGAATTGATATGGCGAGGAAGATTTTGGAGGGGTTTGAAGGGGGTGCGGATGGGCAGCAGTGAATGGACTCGCGTTGAAACCCTTCATTTGTGGTCGGTTTTTTTTTCCTTTTTGGGCCTTCCGACTGCTTTCTGCTGGAAGCTGTTTCTGTTTATGTGCCCTTGGTTTTCATGGTTTCATGGGGAACGGTGTTGGCGGCGCAAGCAACAGACGACCGGGCACGAAAAAAAAAATCACAATCACACAGCGATATTTATACCACTTTATCGATATTGGTCATATCTTTGACGGTTTATTAATACCTAATGAGTTTCGATCGAGAAGACGGATTGGTTGTTAAGGGTTGGTTCGATGAATGCCAAATGAATGGAAAGTGAGAGGTATTGTAAGCGGGGAGAACTGAAATATCCAGGAGGAAGCCTCGGCTGGCCGGTGGAGCGAGGGTCGGAAAAAGGTGTTCTGTGAAGCTCAGCGAGTGCCTATGAGGGGTGTCGGTTCCATGTTTTTTTTTTGTTACTTTTTTTTTTTTCCTCCTCCTTGTCTTCTTACCGTTGTCTGTATTAACTTTCTGGGTGGAGCTACCAGGCTACTTATATGTATCATCCCTTTTCGTTTCATGTACATTTTTTCGATACCCAATTTTTTTCCAACAACAATATGCACTTATACAATCCACGTAACGTTTATAATGTCTCTCACCGACCTTTGTAATAGTTGACATACAAACATGTGGAGTCGTCCGTGAGGCTACGTTGCATGACAGTTTTCTTCTTCCTACATGTGAGAAGGAGGGGCGGGGAGGGAAGATCGGAGCTAGGAGTGCCGGTCAGGCTGGGTCATGAGACGATTCTAGTCCTAGCACGAGTATAAACAAAATGCTGTGATGAAAGGCATGACGAGACCTGAGGGAGGACCAGAGGGCAATAATACCTAGGCTTCAAGCCAGAGAGGACTGCAGAGCCAAGCATAATGAGATGTGTATCGATCGGGACTCACTCAGTTGCATCACACAGACAGACAGTTTAACAACTCTCCTGGCAACCTGACCTAACACATAAAAACGGACGGGGGTAAAAGCAAGACAGACAGAACCAACGAAACTGGGACCAACGGTGCATCACACACACCACACTGCAGCCGCTGGCTGGCTGCTGGACTCTGGCCGCTGCTCACTCCGGCCTAGGTACTTCATCGTTTCGCGTCTACGCAGCATGTATGTATGTTTTAATCAGAGGATGAGACATGAGATTTGGCTCACCCAGGCACGCACGGGTGTAAGTATAGGCGCCCGTTGGGTCTTGATGTTGTTGCTGAGTGAGGAGTGAGGAGAGTGAGGAGTGAAATTTGTCTGTCTTCTTGACGACATGCCTACCCGGCAACTTGATCTCAAGCGAAGTGTGAAGGGCTGGAACGAAGAAATGTTACTCCGAAGACGAGGGAAGATATCTATGTAGGTAACCTTAAAAAGCAATAGACTAGGGAGGTTAAGGTGCCAAATTGGAAGAATTCGAAGACGCCTTCCATGCGAGATTGAGTAAGTGTCGTTGTGGTGTGTGTTTGGTTGTGCGACTACTTACGACAACGCCAGCGGTAGGTATGTAACAGGGCGTCAATACCTTTAGGCTGAACCTTAGACAGCTTCATGCACTGCCGTACGATACTTGTCTGCCCTTCCTTCCCTTTTTACCCCAGAACTTTAAGAAGAAGAAAAAAGAAAGAAAAAAAAAGAGAGAAAAAATCGATCCACACACATCTCAGTGTTGTGCTCACCATGACCGATTCAGAAAAGACTGAGTGAGAAATGGAAGGAGAGGGGAAAAGAGAAAGGAAGAGAAGACGAGGCGAACAAGGGAAGAGGTGCAACGTTGTCTAGCCTAGGTTCCAGACGGAAACATCGTAAAGGTTTGCGTGGGCGAGCAAAACAACAAAGAGGTAGATCGGTAGAAAATGGGGTTTTCTGCTGGATTTGAGAGGTTTCGAGCCATTATGTTCTATGATGTATGTTCTGGATTTTGGCGGCTCTAGCAGCATGTTTCTTCTGTTGTGAAATGGTTCTGCAGAATCAATCTCTTCGTTATTGAGGTGGAAGCTTGCTCTGAAGTCTTCGATGTTGTACCAATGATTTTTTTTTCTCGTTTGTCAGACGCAAACCGCGACCCTGGTAGGTCTATGTTGTCGTACCTCTCAGTGTCCTACATCTGAAACTGGGGAGCGCAATCGAGATGAGGATGTTTCTGATGGCTGATGTACGCACATAGGTAGGTAGATGCGTGTATGAAGCTACCTAGGCTGGAAGTGCCGTGGTAGTACAGTCGAGCGAGCGTCCAACAGGAGGACTGATTTTGCTATAGCTAGTCTCTCTGACAAATGAGGTATCCATTCTTGCTGGAGAGCTGAGTCAAGTTGAGTTGGGTTGAGTGAGCCGGAATCGTCGTGTTTGCCCCCCCCCCCTTGGAACCTCCGCTGGCTGCTCTCCACCCTCGTCATCCCGCAGTCCCGCTCAACGGCTTCTTCGCCAGGCTTGCTCTTTGCATATAATACGCACAAATCCTGCAATTACCCGCCTTGGCCCGTTTCTTGACGCTGCAAGACATGCAGACCTTGGGTCGCACGCTTACAGCAAGTCAGGGGGGTTGTCAGCCACCGACCCGACCAGATCAGTCCATGCCCGTCTTGCACCCCTCAAGAGGTTGAGTGAGTGAGAGAGTGAACGAAATCCGGAAGTCAAAACCTTGCCGGGGCTCTCCCTGAGGCGAATGTATCCAATACGAGCCCAGTCAGTCGCCTGTTACCCTACACACTTTATCGCAGCTAGTCCTGCCTGGTGAGTACAGTCCGCACCTCACGATCGAGACATGCATCTAGGTCGCATACATTGACCCGCATTACTCGCTTTGGTATCCTATTTTGCCTCACTAGTCCTTTCTCAGCCTGCCGTACAACCTGGGCGCCCGTTTCCCTATTTGCGCGGAAAAGAGACAAGTGTCTCGCTTATCCCTCATCTGTCTGTTGAGATTCCAGTCCGTTGCCGGCTGGTCGTCCTACTTGGTGTGAGTTGAGCATGTAGCACTTGGAAACAGTCCTCATGTTACAGTGACTCGGGCGCCTGGAGGAGAAGGGGAGAAGAGGAGAGTGGAGGAGAACACCAAGTGAAGGGTCTCTAGCTGTCGTTCCGTTAAGTGGCAACTCGGGTTTGTGTCAAAGACTGGGTTGTGTTGTGCTGGCAGCGGACGGGTGGTGATAGGAAGCGGAATTCGATGTCAGAGCTTGACTGAATCCTGGGAAAGAGCGACGTGATAAGGTGAACTGTCCTATACAATGGGAAAGTCCAGCTGCGGACCAAGGCCTATATTTGAATGGGTGGAGGTAGGACCTCATATGAAAGGAAAGTGCGGTAAAAGAAATTTTCAATTCGGAAAGGGCAATCAACCAGGGAAACTCGACTGAGCCAGAGCGGTAACCTTTACGGTTTGCATCCACATCGGGCAAAGTCAATAAGGAAAGTTGCATCTAAGAGAAACGGAAAAAGAAGAGGTTTCCCCAGCCTGTCTACCTATACATGTGCCGTCATACATTGCACGACACCCGTCATCGGCCGGGTATCATTTTTGTGACGACTTTGAGGTCCGCCCGTTCTGGTTTGAAGAGAGCCAGTCCAGTCACTCAGTCAGCCTAGGGTGAGAGCGAAGCGAAACCAACAGTTGGGAGCACCGGCCGGCTTTTTTCGTTTCTCGTTTTCTTCTTCTGTAATGTAACTCCTCTTCGTGATTTGTCAAACTTTCCTCGAATGAGTTCTCTTTAAACACAGGCAGATTCGGCAAAGCGACGACCGCAAAAGTGGAAGACGGAGAAAGTGAAGTGGTTCAAATCTCAACACCACACCAAATCGTCATCTTACTCTTTACTACCTTGAACCAAGTCCATCATACATCCAGGTATGTCTCAGACCCTTTTCCGTTCTTACACTGCTTGTTGGCTCTGCACTGGTGATGCCTGTCGACATGAGAGCGCAAGAGAACGATGGTAATAGTGCAGGTCAAAGATGACTCAGTACAATAACTACGAGCCTTCTGTGGTGTCCGGCTGCTCATATTTGATTCACCGCTTGGGCTGGAGTATTCATGGTAGATGTTAGAACAGCTGGAAGAGCTGAGTTTCAACACGGAGATGCTAACTCGGAGTTTCCACACAGTCGGTCGTTTCAGGCTGCTCCTGCTATCTTGCTCCTTCCACAATTTTACTCTGAGCATATCAAACTTGCCTTGTCGAGGAAGACATCATACACGCGCATCATACACACACCATAGACGCGAACTTTTCCCTATCTCGAGGGAAGAGGGAAAAAAAAGGGAAAGACCTGGAAAAAAAAATCCCGAAAATTCGCAAGTGCTTGACGATCATCCAAGCAGTCTTTCTACTTGATATCACCTGTGGCTCGCGGGATGACCGACTGTTATCCCTGCTCTTCACCTAGCCAACGAACACCATCGCCCAGAAATCCAGAACGACCCGGAAGAGGAGTACACCGAACCTGCTTTTTCGTTAACTCTCGCTACAGAGATAATCTCGGACGATCATCTGTTTGGTCCTTTTACATTTTCCAGCATGACTCTTCCATCATATCGCCATGACAGCAACGAGAATAATGACGTCCATTCCCTTTCAGACATCACCGAGGAGATTCACAGGACTGATCGAACCGTCTCCAACAAGAGTAAACAACAACACCAACAAATACAAGAGGAACATTCGGAGACAGTTCAACACGGTTCAAGGTCACCAGTTCGCCGAATTCTTCTTACATTCACGTTAGCACCAACCTTTGTTCACATTGTATCTAAACTTTGCTAACTTTACTTCACCCACAGCATATGCGCCGGTCTAATGTTTTCGTGCCTGGATACCTCCATCGTTTCGACTGCCTTGGTTTCCATATCGCTGGATTTGGGGGATGCTCAAGACGCTCCTTGGACCATTCTAGGATACCTTCTAACATACATGAGTGAGTAGCACTTCATGGATATGTCGAGCATAAGTCTGTGCTACTGCGATGCTTGTCAACAACGGGGCGCATACTGTTCTGAAAGCCTTGCTGATTTTGATCACGCGAAAACAATAGGCTTTGCCGTCGGTTTCTCCAAAGTGAGCGACATCTACGGTCGACGAAACCTTCTCGCCATAGCATGGGTTTTCTTTGCGGGATTCTCAGTGTGGTGTGCCCTTGCCGGGTCAATGAAACAACTGTACGCTAGATTTTCATACGATTCGTCCAAGTTGGTTCAACATTAACACAGCCTATTTACCGTATAGGATCGCAGCGCGAGCACTTCAGGGGATTGGCGGCTCGGGTCTTTATAGCTTGGCACAGGTTTGTCTCCTTGAACAAGGGCCCAGTAAGCCCGAGATGGTAGGCGCACTGGTCGGCATCACTCTATCCATCTCATACGTCCTGGGCCCGTTACTGGGTGGTGGGATCTCGGCTGGTTGGACTTGGAGGGGCATCTTCTGGATCAAGTTGGTTTCCCCCTTCCATCTCGAGCTAATGGTGGTTATCGCTTGTCTAACCAGGTTTTGTCACAGTGTCCCTTGCGGCGCGCTCGCCCTCATAGGTATTTACTCACTCTGGCCGGACGACCGTCGACGGCAATACGACGGATGGACGGGTATCCGCAAAATCGACTTTGTTGGTAACTTTCTCCTGATTGTGGCTTCGATCCTGCTGGTGTTTGGCATACAGGAAGCTGGCTCGTACGTGTGGAAGTGGTCTAGCCCAGTTATCATCTGGTCTTTGGTGATAGCTGGGCTGAGCTGGATTCTTTTGGGGGTCTGGGAAACCTATCTGTTCTACGGGCGGAATCATCACATCCAGCCGATATTCCCCGTGCGGCTGGCGACAGGCCGCGTTTATCTGTCAACGATCATGTATGTCTCGGCCCACGCCCCGCTTCGGATTCATCAAGACAACACTATCGTCGTACGCAACTTGCACTAACTAGAATTTGCAGAGTCACATTCCTCACGGGTCTGGTCTATATTTCCCTGGTCATCAAAATCCCCGAGCGATTCCAAGTCATCTACGGCGACAGCGCGCTTCGAGCCGGCATCCATCTCCTCCCGATGTTGGGGTCGTGTGCTTTCGGATCTACTCTAGCTGGAAGCATCTCCAAGAAACGGAACCTCACAAGTCATACTCTTACATCCGGAAATTCTCTCCAGGTGATTGGGTTGGGTCTAGTATATCGGTTTTCAAACACGACAGAGCGAGGCGATATCCGATATATACTGGGGTTCACGGCCATATACGGGCTCGGTGTCGGCTTGTGCTTCGCCGCCTGTACAATGATCGCGGCTATCGAGGCTCGCCATGGAGATCTAGCAGCTGCACAAGGCGCCGTTGCGCAGGTGCGAGTACTTGGCGGCTCGCTAGGTCTGAGCATCTGCACCATCATATTCAACGACATATTACAGACATCTCTAGGCCCTGCCACGGAGGCTGGTAGATTTCCCGCAACCGTTCTAGACCAGCTTCATAGAAGCCCGCTGGCCGTGTTCATGCTTCCGCCCGAACAGCAAATTTTGGTCAAGAAAGTGTACTCGGACGCGTTCAGATATCAGATGCTCCTCATGATGGCGGTGGTAGCAGTGGCCGTTCTGGCTAGCCTAGGGACATATAGGTCGAAACCGCCGGCCGTTGTTGACTCGATGATTCACCACAAGGTGTTGGCGGCACGACCTAGCGATACAGAGTTGGAAAGCGCGAGTAGTGTTCGCTCGCTGGTTCGTGGGGTTAGCTGAGAGATCGGTCTGCCTGTACGGTCTGCCCGTTTTTATTGTTTCTTTGCTTCTGTTCTGTGGCTGTACTACCCAGATTTTGGTGCCTGGAGCATCATCGGTGAGAATTTCATTGAGCCATGTTCTTCGCTACATTCAGCATGCGTTCTACACTCCATACAGTTAATAGATGGGATATTGCTGGATCTTTCGCTTAGGTATGTTGCCGCAATAATTCCTAGGCGTTTTCACGGTTTTCATCTATCCCGGGGCGTGTTTTCTAGGGGTGTTGGTTGCCCAGTGTGTTTGCTTCATTCCTTGTGTGTGAGGGCCCAGTTGTCATTGAGAGTGTAAAATATCTAGGTAGTGAGGAGGCCATGTACCACCGGAACAAATAACCAAACTGGAGGTAGAAGAAACCCATCTTGGGTGGTGCTCAGGTAAAACTGACAAAAGCGGGTAACCCAGGCTTTACTATTTGACTCTTTCCTCTATAGATTAACATTGATGGAAGCGAGGTACGTATTCTCTCCTATAGGATGGCCGAATGGTTCATACTAGGATGGGTATTACAATATTCGATGCGGCCGTTACTGGTGACTAACATAGGACCGGATCAGAACCATGAGGGGGCGTTGAGACATTTCCTGACTGAAGTTGAAAAAACGGTGGTGTGACACACCCATCAATATGGATTTTCATCAAGGATGTCATGTACATATGACCGGTTGATTATTTTGTTGGAGGAAGCTAGCCATGTCCAAAGGCAGCTGAATACTCTTGTCGGCTCGTTATAGAGTGCTTGCCTATCCTGGCCCGCAAGCGATGATGAGTAGACAATATGCCAGGGACGGGTCTTTGATGTCCATTCCCCATTCCTAGATTGGGAGACGTCCTGTAATCAAAGTGACTGATTTGTGTTTCGAGAATATAAGGCTGGGATAAATGGGATTGAAGTGAACGTACTCTTCCAGCCGCATGCACCTGGTTTCTTCTCATATTGGCGGATAAATAGGCAGTACCAGGAAAGAAACAAACCGGAGTAGTGGATTCTTACAGTTTTAAACAAATGGATTTAGGTAAAATCATCATAGCCCGTTACAGCTCCCTCGATGTCAGGGAAGACACTGCGTGGTTTCTGTACCTCTATGCACTGAACAGCCAGCGAGACGAGTGAATGAAGAATGGAAGAAGCTTCCATTTCTCAACTTTGCAGTAACAACGGAATTTGAAGAAAGGGAAGGAACTCAACTATTCCGTGGAATGGGTAGAAGTAGCTTAGCGACGCGATTGCCAGGAAAGTTCACTTGAGGTCCATACTTGAGCGTGGAGCTCTGCTTTACTGCCCGTGTACTGGAATTGGGCTGCTATAAAACAAGCTCATCCCAACCTTCAAAGAGTTGGCAGAGTTCCTTTCTAATATTCAAGAACCCATCCTTGAAGTGTTTCGTCTGCGAACGCTATATCTGTGTCGGAAGCAAATTGTCAACGTTGCCTTTTCGCCATCAGTCCTGACTTTAGGCGGTATATCGATCCTTTCCCCATTGATTCTAGCGGTATACCCTATTCGGAACGTATCTATCTACTTTCAATTTGAATACCGAGGACAGCATTTAGCTGTGGTTGTATAAACAATGTATCTGCTACCTACCGACCTTTATGTTACCTAAATAGTTTTTTACTACCTAAACGGATTTACTTTGTAAGAGGAATCACAAAAGGGTAAGATGATATTGTTCTTTTAAACTTGCTCTCACAGTGCTTGCTTGGCAACGATTGACGAGATGTCATATCGATATTGCACGTGATGACGATTTTGTATTACACTTGGTAGTTCCTGCGCTGGCTGGAAAGTCCGAAGAGTCCTTTATGTGGGAAACGGCCTGCGTTGCAGATGCCATGACCCAACATGTCGGATCAGGGCAGGAGTGATGATCTTCCGCATCAGTGAGTGACTGCTTTCTGAGATAGGCTGATTTGTCCTAGCGTTTGGCCAGTCAACTCTTCATGACGGCTTGAATTACCTGATGAAGTCGCATGGAATCGCCGAGTGTCTTCGACCTGCTCTGTTGATGACTGTTTATCATCTTTTCATCTTACCTATATGAACCTCCTCGAAAACTCCACAAGAGCCATGATTGCCATAGCCTGGCCATACGGCATACAAGTAATCGGGATATCCTTATAATGCTGTAAATCCCTCCCCATGCCCGTCCCAAACGAGGTATTCAGTAACTCGCCCTTGTCGCTGATATTGTATAAAACCCCCTTCAGCGCACGCACTGCCACGTCTTCGTACTCCTTGCCGACGATGTACTTCTTCCTCAGCGCCTTCATGATCCCAAACGCGAACCCGGCTGTGGCGCTCGTCTCAAGATACGACCCTTCGCTCTCCGGCACGTCCAGTAGCGTCCGCCACAGCCCGGACTCGGCTTGGAGAGACTTGAGTGCTTCACACTGCGCCTCAAGTGTGCTCCGCAGTATAGCTCCGATGGGGTCCTGCGGCCCGAGGTCCAGCAGCTCGATGAACTCGGGGATGAAGATGGTCAGCCAGCTGTTTCCGCGGGCCCAGCGGGCGTTGGCGAAGTTGTGCCCGCCACCCTTGTCGTTGAACTCCCAACCGTGGAAGAACAGGCCGGACTTGGCATCAAACAAATACTGGATGTGCAAGAGGGACTGGCGCTTGGCCTCCTCGACGTAATGGGGGCGGTTGAGCACCAGCCCGATCTTGGCCAGCGGCATGACCGTCATCATGAGCGTGTCGTCCCACAGCTGCTGGTCATTGACTTCTACGTAGGTAATGTGCTGCATGCCGCCATGCTTGGTGCGCTCGAGGTCGTGGTAGGCCCACTCGGCCCAACTGTCGAGCCACGGCAGGTAGGTATGGTTGCCGGTACGCTCGTAAACGTAGGCCAGCGTGAGGAAGACGGCCATGGTGTTGATGTTCTTTGTGGTTCCACCGGCGGCGAACCGGTCGGCGAACCAGTCTTCGATGATTTGCAGGCATTCGGGGTCGCCCTTGAGCTCGTAGTATTGCCAGATGCCGTAGAGACCGATGCCGTGTGTCCATTCCCAGTCGTTCCATCCCTTCGTGTCGATCACGCGGCCATCGTCGAGAGTCAATAGGAACTTGCCTGTCTCATCTTTAATGTTGACCAGGGCGTCGATTAACAACCTGATGTTGGAGTCGATGTCCGCAGACTTGACTCCGTCGAGCACTGCTGGCATCTTGGCCGACTTTGAAGTATGTGATCCCTATACCGGCTGATATGTGCTGATGACGTCGTGTCAGTGTCTTGCTTGAATAGGGGACTGTGGACTTGTGGTGGTCCAGGAGGATATCTGGGCTTCCAGATCAACTGGCATATTCTTAGAGCAAACCACCCAAAAACTCAATGTCTCGCGAGCGGCCTGTTCGCATTTTTCCTCAAAACCCTTCCTGCTTGGTGGATAATTTCCATAGCGATGAGGTCTCGCCATCGGATATCATGGCAGAGAGTTGCACTGAGAGGGTTGAGGAGCTCGGTGGAAATCACCCCGAGACCACCACATGTGAGCATTATTGGCAGGGGCTTCATGGCGTGCGGGGAAGACGGGAGGAAATCGCCTGGCTGTTTGCGGGGACAGGCGCTGGAGTGTGCTGTCCGGGGCACACCGGGCCGACAGTCGGTTGAAGGCCACTTTCCATACCGTAGGCAGAAGTGTCTCGTGGTCTTTTGTGTTGAGGAGTGATACCTATCATGGCTGACACACTTTCCATTGGAAGTCGAGGGCAGTGAGGCAAGTTGGTGAAGTGAGGAACGGTCAGACCTCAGGGACTTCCCTGATATTCATCCTAAAGGGCGTCTTGGGGAACAAGCTGTGAAACTCATACAAGTCATTGAGTTACAAAGAGCCCCAATATTCTAGAAGATAACCGTTGTCAGAGCAGAATTGTAGTAGCAAGACCGCTACTACTTTCCTCCATCCATCTTTACCTCCGCGATGGCGAGACGGCCGCCCTTGAGGGCTGAAAACGTCCCAGCCAACTTCCAGCCGACTTGCAAGTAGAACCCTGCTTGGGGTAGATTGAACTCTGACTGGTAAGTATTGTGACAGACTGTCCAGTAAAAAGGAAGAAAGAAAAAAGTTGGCAAGAAACATGAGAACAGATGATCACCAACACCAGGGATCGTGTGGTTGGTTTCTGTCAGCCTGCAGTTGAGACAGGCTTCCCCATGGGGTAGAAGCCGGATTGACAAAAGTGATAGGACGACCCCAGATTCTGTCTCTCCACGATGTTGCCGCCACTCTATCCTCCATCTCTCCACCTCTATACATCTTCATCTCTATCTTGACCTGTCCTGGAGGCCACGAGTCATCTTCATATCCAAACATCAGATATCCACAGTAAAATATGTCGAAGCACGACGATCCAAACATGGTCAGCCCATACAGAGACATCCAGCAAGTCGGCGACAAGCACGACCTGGGAGAGGTTGAAAGAACTCTCTCTCCAGATCTGGATAAGGGGGACCAGCCAAGATACGACAAAGTCGACAAGGAATTGGCCCAATATGTCGCCGATGAAGCCTTCGAGATATCGGAAACGGAGAATGCTCGCCTGCGTGAGTTGATCGACAAACGAGTGCTCGCCATCATGATCACAACCTACTTCATCCAAGCCATCGACAAGGGGACCTTGAGTTTCTCCTCCATCATGGGCATCAGAGAAGACACTGGTCTCCATGATCAGCAAGTATGTGATATAGCTTTCTTGTTTTTGAAGCCCCGTAGCTTGTCCTGTGATTGTTGCCACTAACAAATTGTCATTCCTCCAGTACGCCTGGCTAACCACATGCATCTACATCACCATCCTCATCGTCGAGTATCCCCAGAACTACATCATCGCCCGTGTACCTATCGCCAAGTACCTCAGCTTCATGATCATAGCCTGGGGTGTCGTCCTCGCTTGCACCGCCCTCTGCAAGGACTTCACCGGCCTAGTAGTCGTTCGGACGCTGCTCGGTCTTTTCGAATCCGCCTGCCAGCCGGCCTTTGTCATTCTGTCCTCGATCTGGTACAAGCGAGAGGAGCAAGCGTCCCGGGTGACCTACTGGTACATGATGAACGGCGCCCAGCAAATCGTTGGCGGCCTCCTGGCCTACTGCTTCTCACTGATCAAAACCGGCCCCCTCAAGTCCTGGCAATGGCTGTTCCTTTCTTACGGAATCGTCTCGGTCCTGTACGGCCTATTTGTCGGCTGGTGGATGCCCGATTCACCCATGCGTGCGAAGTGCTTTCTCGAGGAGGACAAGCGGCTGATGGTCGAACGTGTGCGTGCCAACCAGACGGGCGTCCAGAACCGCAAGTTCAAGAAGGCGCAGGTCTATGAAGCCTTGAAGGACCCCCAGGTCTGGGGGTATGCTCTCGTCCAGCTGTGTACCACGCTCCCGACCAGCGGCCTCGGTAGCTTCCAGGGTATCATCATCAGCAGCTTTGGGTTTTCTCTGCTGGAGACCCAGTTGCTGGCTATGGTGCTGGGCTTCTACATCATCATCGTGTTGCTAGGCTCCGTGTGGATCGTCAAAAAGACGAAGCAAAACTTGCTGACAATGTTAGGCTTTTGCATTCCGTCCTTTATCGGCACCATCTGCCTCATGACTGTGCCGACGGACACCAAGACGCAGAAGATTGGGCTGGTCATCTGCTACTATATCACCCTGTCCTTCTGGTCGGCTCAGACACTGGCTTTGTCCATGCTCTCGCGGAACGTGGGTGGCCAGACCAAGAAGGCTGTGGCTGTTGCCTTGAACTTTATCATTTGGGCGGCCGGAAATGCCATCGGTCAGTTTTTGTCTCCTCTCCTAAATGTGGTAACGGTCCTTTGCTGACTGTGATGCGTATCGGCTAGGGCCCCAAGTTTTCTTGGACTCCGACAAGCCACGGTACTTCATTGCCTTTTCAACGCACCTGGGCTGCTACAGCCTGCTCGTCGTCGTCATCGTCGGTCTGCGATTCTATCTCAAGCACCAGAACAAGAAGCGGGATGAGCTCGCTGCCACCGGTGTGCAAGAGGCTGCTGACGGAAGGATGATACATGCGTTTGAGGATCTGACGGACAAGGAGAATGCCAATTTCCGTTATGTGTATTGATCGAAGAGATATCGCCGCTTGCTGGGCCGGGGCATGTTTGCTCTCTGTCGGTGCTTACAAACTTGGGCTATTGATTTTGTTCGTAGCGTTTGAATTATCTGCATTTTTTCCCCTCTTTGGGCGTTAAGACCTCATCGTTTCCCTCCTGCTGGTGTCCATGATCGTCGTGCAAGTCAGAGGACTTTTCGTGGTCAATTATGTTGTTGTTTTGTCAAAGGAGCATGTAGGGCGCGAACCTCGGTCGCTGTTACGGTAGAATGGCCCCTCCCACGCAATCCTTCCGCCAATTTTGATTTCCGTGCTGCTTGTTAAAATGTAACTGTCGTAGTCCGCGCATTTGAACTCTGTTTTCTGTTTCCATTTCGGACGTTGTGCTAGGCTCGTATGCTGGCATGTGTACAATTAACAGGTCGTTAGTGCATTCCAGCTTCAACACAACAATGTGATCAAGAATTGGGGGGACGACCTTGACCCCTCCCTCTCATGCACGGTCCGCTTGTATCTTGCAGGCAACCGGTTTCTGCGTGATTGCATACCACAACCCATAGGTAGGTATAAAACAAGAGGATTACGAGCGCTGTACTGGCACCTTCCGCCCTGAGGCTACATGGGATGGACTACATGCAATCATCAAATAATCCCCTTGGGTATGGACTCGTCTTGCTGTGTTGGTTAAACCAGTCTGATCAGCAAGCAAACTCGATATCATCGAGGTCTTTACTCCATTTGTATGTTTTCCAGCATCCAAGCACGCCTGGTACATATTGAACTTACTTTCACTTCTCAAGAGGGCCTCTTCCCCTTCACCCAACGTCAAACGCCCAGGTGACTGTTGCTGACGTCTCAGTCTGATTGGTCCCTTCAACATTCCATCTCCGATATGGCTTCACCTTCGCCCCCGATCCCGCTGGACATGGCCGCCACCGGGTCCCTCGGGCCCTTTCCCACTCCCACCCACGGCCAGCCCGGAGCCGGCTCGTTCACTATCGCCTGTTCCACACATATCAAGGCCACACCTCGCACATGTCTTGAAGTTCTTCTGAAGGCGTCAGAGTACCCAACATGGAATCGCTACTGCCGGAAATGCATCATAGACGCTCAGCCGGACGGAAACCAGCCCAAGGACAAATATGACAAAAAGTCCAAGTCCAAGACGGATAAGAACAAGTTGAAACCCAAGTCTGGTAAGCCCGGGGAGCCGGTAGACATACCCGTGGCCGTGCCCGTAGCCGAGTCTGCTTCGGTTACTGCTTCTGATGCTGGTACTGCTCCCCGCACGCTCTCCCCTGCCAACCCTCACTCCTCAGGGGTATCTCCCGCTTCCTCTGCCCACCAAGCTCTTCCCAACCTGGTTGGCCCAGAGTTCCTCCACCTAGGCACCAAATTCACTTTCCATGTCCATATGCACCCTCTATCAGAGGACAGCAGCGCCCGCAACACCGCGCTCAAAGTCAGTCGTCTGGAGAGGATTGATGAGTTTGTCAAGGCGGATGTCTCGTCTGTTCTTGAGTCGGTTGCTTCATTGCCTAGTGATGGTGGTAGTGGGACTGACAGTGGGGCGAAGACTGGGGCTGCTCAGGATAATGGTCGTGACGGTGGTGGTGATGGTGGTGATGCTATTGGTGCTGAAAGTGAAAACAATGACCCTCTCCCTGATGCTGCTGCTGCTGCTGCTGCTCCTCCTCCTCCTCCTACTGTTGAAAAAAATGAAGACAATGACACTTCGGTTACGACTGCCAAAAAGGATGGTAGCAAAGCTAGCGACCCCCAAGAAAATGACACAGGGAAGGTGGCGGCATCTTCATCTTCATCCCCATCCAAAAACAACGACAAGCTCCAGCTCCGCCGCACCGGCTTCCGCATAGCCTGGAAGACTCGCCCCACAGCCTTCATGCCAAGCTGGATGCTCCGATGCGAGCGCGTGCAGGAGTTTGTCGAAGTTCATCCTCCCTTGGGAACGCTTGACGAGCCAGAGACGGCGTATCAGTGCTGGGAGACGTTTTACGGAGTGTTGGCGCCTGTGGTGAAGGCGGCAGCGGGCAGTCAGATCGTGAGGGGTTTTGATGTGTGGATGGAGGGGTTGAAGAAGAGGGCGGAGGAGGTTGAGGGTAGGGCGGAGCGAAAGGAGAGGGTTGGGTTGAAGTCTTAGTGGAGGGATACGTATCTTGATTGATGTTATGCTTCTTTGGAACGTGAGACTGATTATCTTGAATCGTTAGCAAGTCTCGGAGGAAAATACGGAACAATAATACGTGGGCAGGACCAACCTATCTAGCCTCTTCTCAAATATCTCTCTCGCTCGGCGATATCTTTTTTCTCCCATCATCCACGGCCATTTCTTTTCAGTCGATTTCTCAACCTTTCTGTTACTATGACCGCACATTTTTTCCTCTTCAAGCAGTTCAACACATCCCAGCTCCTTCTTCATTTGCTAATGCCATGGTAATTAAGGGCTCCATCATCCACAGACTTATCCTCCCCGACTATTCACTCATCAGCACCTTCCTTCTCCTTCTTCTCCCCCGTTTCCTCCTCCTCCTTCCCATCCCTTTGATCTTCCCCGTTCTGATTCTCCACCTCTGCATCCTTCTTTTTCCCACTCTTCCTCTTTTTCTTCTTCGCTTTTCCCGAGCCAGCCCCAAGTCCCTCCTCAGAATTCCCCAAAGCCTCCCCCCTCTGAAACACAAACAGAGCCTCATCCTTCCCCGCAAAACTCGGCAACGGGCATTGCACCACCTTCCTCCACCCTTCCTCTTTCCACTCGCGCTCCATATATTCATCCATAGTCACCCCCTTGAACCCCGTATACCCGTTCCCATTTTGCGTACCCACCACCGCCAGGGTATCTCCCTTATAAGCCTTCATCAACTCCCGCGTAAACCCTCCCTCCTTCCCGCCCGCCGCGCTACTATCACCCCCCACAATCGGATACACCAGCAGCAAAACCATATCTTGTCCTCCCTTGCTTGGGCAAGAAGTGGAAGAAGGAGAGGAAAGCCAACGGACGCCGTCAGCGACGATGGTGTCGTCTATCCACATTACTCGCCATTCTGACTGGTTGTTGTCTACCGCATAGACTTTTTGTTGCGATTGGGAGGAGGTGGGGCCAGGAGAGAGATATTGACGGAGCATAAAAGTCCAGTAGCCGTTGCCCGAGCCCATGTCGATTATGGAGCGACCGCGGGCAAAGAGTTTGAGGAGGGAGAGGGATTCGTGCGAGGGGACGGCACAGCCGAAGTGGTGCATGAAGATGGGCAGGATGTGGTGGGACATGCGGGGGTTGGTGAGGATGATTTTGTTGGTGGTGTCGTTTGGGTCGTCTTTTTTTGCTTCATCGGTGTTACTGGTAGGGGGAGAAGAAGAAGAAGCTGATGGTGAAATGGGTACTGGCCCGCACCATTCCAAGTTCCGACAGGACCAGGCCCAGAAATCAAAGTAGGGGTTACATGGCAAGGGAGTCTTGCTGTCCTTTTTGGTTTTGGGAATTATGAGTTGGTTGCCGAGGGGATGCCATTCAGATGCAATGTAGCGCTTGGAGAGCAGATAGGTGGCGGAGCGTAGGCGGATGGATGAGCGTTTGGCGTTGGACTGGAACGCGGTGAGGGCCGAGGCTGTGGCCGTGGAGGGAAGGAAGATGGAGATGTAAGATTCTATGTCTGCTTGGGGTGGAGGAGGAAGCTGGAGAGTTGAGGTGGGTGGATGTTAGCATGATAGACAAACATATCCTCGGCAGAGATGAGACTTGTTGAGTGAGCCCTGTGCCGTTGTGGATGGAAGAGCTGAAGTAAACAAGGGAAAAGGGGCTCCCCCAATGGAAAACCAGCCTCAGCATCAGCAACTGGTACATACCAAATCACCCCCCTCCAATCTATACCATCCATGCATCCCCTTGGCCCCGCCAACATCAACTGCCCTCTGGACCTGTGACAGCTTTACGCTGGCAATCGCATGGTACACGTACTCATCGGCTTCAGGGGCGTTGACGTCGTCGGCTAGGTGGAACCACGTTCGGATGGCTGTCGCGAAGTCATTGGTTTCGGCCAGCCGCTGTAGTACCTGCTTATGCGTCTCCTCGTCTTTGACTGCTTCGCTGGGAACGAATGTGAGGCTGCCTAGGCAGTACATGGTCACTCGGTTTCCGGTTGATGTTGTCACTGTCATGACCATCTTGGGCAACGGCAACGTGTTTCTTTGTGACACTGTAGTGTAGGCTGTTTGTGTGCTTTCTGGGCGACACTTGGGAGTATCGGCATGAGTGAGTGGGTATAGTGATGGTGTAGTGTACTGTATTTCGATTTCTGAACGTGGAAGACTGCACTTTACGGAGACATCGACTCGGGAGGAACGACTACGAGGAGTTTCCCCACATCATAACAGTCTCTACCTATGCTCAATCGACGATGGCCATGATGTGCATCTGACGGGTTCCAATCGATTGTTCCCGTCCTGGCATGTCATGCTCGGATCATGGCATGACATGGTAGCGCCGGCTACTGCCTTGGTTATTGGTTGATGTCTTGGCCAACATGCATGCCGATGTTGCCGGGGGCAGCGGGGGTTCAAGACGACCGGGGGTCCGGGCACGCGGCTGGCACTCTTGACACCTCCAGTCTCACAACGATACATATCACGCAAAGCCTCAAGGCGTCCGCTAAAGTATTGCGCGGTTCATCACTGTCCACTTGCGAAGCTTGAGAGATGAAGCCCTTTCATATTATCACTACTTATGCGGGCTTGATTTTCGAACAACCTGCAACAACCTACGGCATCACTTGCGTACAAGCAACTGGAGCCTTCCGTATGCTGGACATCTCGTTTTCTACCTGGCAGTAGACTGCGCTCCCTTCAACCGGGATATAAGTGATAAATAATTACGTCCCTTGTGCTCCATAGTAGTCATGTCTATTCATACAAAGCTGCTAGTTCTTGCTGTAATGCATCCAGCCTTGCTTTGGCCCACGAAGTCTCTGCCGGGAAGATGGCGACTAGGGAGTAATTTGACTCGACGGCTTCTCGCCTCGCCCTATGGTCGCGATGGTTACCGTCTGTTTCTGACCACAACTGGGGTCAGTGCAGTAAGGAAGCTTGAGCTTCTCTAGCGCGCCGCCGCTTTCTCCTTACTGCTCTTCTTTGACGACTTTGCTCCGGGTTGGATTCTTGCCATCATTTCCTCCTTGGTAATCAGATGGTCAATTCTTTCCAGGTGGCCTAGCAAGCTCTTCATGTTGAAGCTCCACTCGTTGAGGATATCGTCCGCATCCCGCGGCTTAGCAAAGCTCACGATGCGCGCCGGGCGGTCGATCTTGGCATAGACCGTTTTGGACGTCACGAGCTCGCTGATATACTTCTCCGTCTCGTCCTCGGTCAAATCCAACAGCTGGGTAAGGCGATCCACACGAATGCGCGTGTAATACTTGGCCACCACACGCACATTATGTTCGATGACGCGCTTACGCAGGTCTTGCCAGCGCTGGAAAGCCTTGTCGTCGGCTGACTGGTTGGGCTCCGAGTCGAAGATCTCGGTGCTGCAGAGGTGTGGGCCAAAAATTTTGGAAACCTCGGGCCAGCGCATGAGCTCGTGGACGGTAAACAGCTTCAACAACTCGGCATCCTGAGGGACCTGTGCGATTCGTGGGTCCTTGTGGATTCTGTGAAGGAGATCGTGTTGCTCGTTGTCGTGAGGGGCAAGGATGATGAAGTAGATGATTCTTTGCAGGACCTGTCAACCCATGTTAGTCTAAGAAGATCACCATGCGGTGTGTCTGAGAAGCTTACGGCCTGCAACTTGGCGGGGTCCTCCTCTACCGCCTCGGTATCCAGCACTTGACGGTAGTACTTGCAGACGTCGAGGTATCTTGAGTCGTGCTTGGCCAAAATGATCTGTTGTTCGTAGTATCGCAACTTGAGGTCGGTGACATCATCTTCCTTCTCCTCAGAAACCTCCTCGCCCCTGGCCTTCTTGGCCTCCCTGTCCTTCTGTTCCTTGTCGAGCTGCTCTTGCGTTTTCTTGGGCCTGCGCGCAAGGTACTTGGTGCTAATCTTTCTGCTGAGAATGCCCGCCTGTGTCCAGTCCTTGCTCTCTATGCAGAGCGCCACCTGAGCCAGAATGAATTCCGTCTTTTCCCTCCTGTCCATGGAGCCAAATGTCTCCACCTGAAGCTCGCACAGGATATCGGTCGCAGCCTTGAGATCGCCCTGCTCTTTCTTGATGTCGGAGAGAATCTTGGTGACGCGCGCGCGCTCAACCTCGAGAAAGATCTTGCCCTCGGTAACAGTGCGCAACGTCTCGATGACGGAGAGCTTGGTCTCGAGGTTCGGGGTTTCTGGGAGGAAGTCGATGACGGTCTGTACCATCTTGGTGATGGCTTGTTTGAGCTGGCCATGTTTCTTGGAGAGAACAAGGGTCTGGTCGTTGAGCAAGCTCCAGTCGCCTGCATTCTTGCAGATGGTAACGATAGCGACCAGGATACGGGATGTCGATGCAAGGTCGGAAGCCTGTCGTCGGCGAGTGGTCAGCGTGAAGGAGCGGGGGACAATGTAGGTGGCCGAGCGTGCTTACCTGGCGCGTCTGCTTTTCGAGGACAGAAAGCTTCTCGATAGCCGCTTGAATGTCTGTCTACAATGGTGTTTCATTATCAGTATACGGTCTGCAGACGGTGGCAACCATGGGAGTTTTGCGATTACCTTGGCCAACTGCTCGGCCTCGGGCAGCAGCTTGTCGACTTCCTTGGAGAAGTCCTTCTCCGGCTTGAACGCAGGCTCCGCCATGATGTGCAGTAATGAGGATGTGTGGATAGGCGCTGTCAGACTATTTCGGGTATCGTGGGCTGGGCGGCGACTACACTGCGTTCGCGATGGGTTCGTGTTGTTGATGTTGTGATGATTGAGGGGCAGTTCGTTTGTTAGGTAGGTTGTTTGGAGACTGCTCTTGGTAGGTAGGTAGGTAGGTACCTTGAGTGTCGTCAGTCCAGCGATTGGCGTAGTGAAGGTGCTGTGGTTAGGTCGTCACGGTAGCTGCTGCTGGAGTGGGACCTGTCACTGCTAGCAACCCAAGCACAGCGGTAGGCACGTACGTAAAGGTAGGACGGGAACAAGGCTCAAGCTCCACGTCAGTTTGCTCTGCCTGTCGGGTGGAGCACTGCTCCAGTCCAGCGAATGAAAGTGGCGCACGTGAAGGGAAGCTGGGGCTGGAGTGAGGCTGAAGCTAGGCAAGAAGACCCCCGGCCGCTTTCATGAGTGTGCCAATGTGCTATGGAGGCTACTCTGTGGCTTGACTCTACCTTACTTAGAGGTAGTTTAGTACTCTGATTTTCCAAGATGACCATCACAGAACAACAACTCCGGTTTCCTCCAACAACGAATTGCCCGAACCGCATGTTACCTATTGAATCCAACTCGGTATCCAAGTTGCCATGCCATTTTTGAGAAACCCAGGGTTGGTGTGCGGATCAAGAACCTAGACCTGGACCTGGACATGGACCCTTTCTGTGAGATCCTGCTCTTACGAATCACAGTACAGTAATGCTGCAATCTTTGTACCCCATAGCCTGTTCATCATCATATCGAGACCGGTCCGCGATGTATACGGAGCTGAGCCGCTAGAAGGAGATATAGTCTGCTAGGGCATCGAGGCCCCCAAACCTCATGACCTCCGTGACACGTTTGGATGACATCTTTGGCCTTGCCAGAGATCAGAACAGGAATCGGATTGGTTAGATGGATGCGTGTGGTGGCGGCGGGCGCTCCTCCGAGACCTCTCGGGACTGCGAATGCGATTGCGATGGGTTCGTGACTGGACCATACCATGACCTCTTATCCTTTCATCCTATCGTTCTCTCGTCCTCTTTCTGCGAAGCGGAACAGCCTGACTCTGTGATCTGCTCAGGGCGACGCCAAGTGCTAACTCGCTTCCAGAGTCATCATTAACGTATTTTCAAGGTTACTTAGCCTGAGGCAACACAGCATCGACTTGATTTGTGCAATTCTGCTATCCACGGTCACGTCGTAGTCTAAGCAACCGAACATGCAGCCCTTGAACTGGGTGTCTCTATTTTACCTCATTCGTGTTCTCTTCCTTCCGTTTCGGTGGCTTTTCTGTAGTGCGCTGTGGCTTGTCCGGGTCACTTCATCCGCCTACCGCACGACACCACCATATCGCAAACCGAATCTATACGACGGTGAATTAAATCGGGATGATACCGTATTGGTGGTTCATAAGCACCTTGATCAGACGGGGAAACAGACGACGACGAGCCTCCTCTGGAAAATGAGAAAAGGAAGGGTGGGGTGGGGGGGTTGACGAGTTGAAGAATGAAATGATTTCCAAACCCCCCACATCCTGGCCACGCTATACGTCAGGGATCGATCGCATTATCTTCATTTTCTACCCTCCCTTGACAGCGTGGTACTGTGTATTCTGTACCTGGCTGCCAAGCGCGCTGGTGCAGAACGCAAGGGGGTCCAGACTGAGGTACCTACATACTTATCCAGGACTGTTAAGTCGTCAGAGGTTCACCAGCATTGGAACTTCCATAACACTCATCTTGTTTGCCCTTTTGGTTCTTGTCGCCAACTTCACCCCTTCACATATTGCTTCAGAGTACAAGCATTCGGTAGCTGCTTGCCTTTGCCCCGACGATCACGCGGACGACAAGCTCTTCGGCAGTTGACCATCCTCTAATTCGAGTCCATCCTCATTAGCACAGACGACTCACTCACTTGGGCGATACTTTGTAGGTTAAGCTCATACAGTTTTAGTCGCGACGAATTCCTCGATTGCCAGCTTTACTACCGGCTTTGATTGCTCTCTGGACAGCAAATAAGTGCTCATATCCCCGTTAACATACTGGGTCACATACCTACTTGGGCTTCCCTTGTGTGGAACATACGCCGAGACTACTGGCCACCAACCGTACGAACCTGGATCTCGGTCTGAACGATCTGTCATCCTGTCGCAGTAGTCACGATTTTCTTCCCGTTTCCTGAATACAAGCCACAGGCTGCCTATCCTTCGCCTCACCTTTACCACGCTTTACAGATCGCGTCCCAGATTTTCGGTCTTGAGTCTGTTTCACAGTGTGGTGGTCTCTCATGTTCTGAGAGCTTCTCTCTTCCTCCTTACCAGTCTCCCTGGCGATTGACTGCTCGTATAACCGGGTCTAGGCGTGCCAAGGTACAGAATCACTACACAGTACGCCAAACATATCTTCAGGCCCCTTCACGAACGGATTTGCTGTGCATGCTGCTGGCCGTTGGTGGGACACTGGCTCTGCTGTCCTCACGGCGATACACAAGTCTCGGCTGGGCAATCAACGCTTCCCGTTCAGTCCGCGTGTTACTCAAGACCACATAGCCCGCACTTGAGACCTACAGACATAACGGGCGTGAGTGATTGTTGCTGCTGCTGTTTCTGTGTCTGCTTCTGCTTCTACTAGGGTCAAAGCGATATAACGTGCTGCAACCTCATTTGGCCCAAAAGGTAGCCTGTTGCTGTCTTGGGCTTATCCCCGTCCTGCAGTCCCAAACCCACCAGTCAGTCCCCTTCGCCGCCCTTGAAACGAGAGAGGAAGGAACTTTTCCAGGTTCGCGTCTGCTGCGTCTTCGGCGTCCAGGATGGAGCGCATACAGGGTGACCCGGCTGTGTTTGGTGTCTCGAACCCCAACACGAACAGAACGTACGAGTGTAGCTCATCTGCCAGCGACGATGGCACCTTGGCCCAGCCAAGTTCCCAATCGATTTCGTCACAAGTCGACAAAGGCTCGACGAAAGCCCAGCAGGTGGTGGTGGTGGACGAGTCCCCCGATTACACGGTTGCGCAAGCAGACACAGCAGTCATCCTCACCTCCAGTGAAACCGCACCAAAATCTCCTCGAGCTGACAATGCTCCAATAACGACCCATGACCCTGACCTGGAGGAGAGTACCGACTCCGTCATATCTCGTGCGGACACGGTCTTTTCCAAATCGACGACAAACTCCCCTTCACTTTACGGCGCATCCCCGTTTCCGTCGGGTGAACCCAGCTCGCCAGGCGAGAGGTCGATTCGGCTGCTGCTATCATCGTCACCATACCACACGGCACTGGAAGCGACGAAACGGGGGCGAGAAGAGGCGGGCGAAGAAGAAGATGATGACGGGGAGTTTGACGCTGAGCAAGAAGAAAGGGCAGCTGTAGAGCAAGCGGCCGAGGACGGGAATATCACCATCGACCATGACGATATGGCTTCAGACGCGGGTTACGAATCAGACGCCAACACGACATGTTCGACGTCGCTAGCTGAGAGTATACGCGACTATGTTTATGAGAATGGGAGGCGCTATCACAGGTTCCGTGAGGGACGATACAACTTTCCCAATGATGATGTTGAGTACGTCAAATCTTTCTGGTATTGTGCGGAGGCGGCGAGTGTTTTTTTAAAGACATCATGTGGGGATACTTCGATCATTACCTGACTACGGTTCAGCTAACGCAGAGTGAACAGGCAACAACGAGAAGACATGAAACATGCCATGGTGAAGATGTTGTGCGGAAGGCTGTATTACGCGCCCATCGGGAGCCATCCCCAAGAAATCCTGGACATTGGAACTGGGACGGGACTTTGGTGCATTGAGAGTAAGTTCTGCCCTTTTCGAGCTTCGAGATCACGTACCCCCTCTATGATCAAAGAAAAAAGGCTGACACACGTATCATCCCATAGTGGGTGACATTTTCGAGAGCGCGAATATCCTCGGCGTAGATCTAAGTCCAATACAACCAGAGTGGGTGCCGCCTAATGTGCGGTTTATGGTCGATGATATTGAGTAAGTCACCTCAATTCTTAGGTATTTTATTTTCACAAAGAGGGTCGTCACTTACCAATGTCACAGAAGCCCGTAAGTTGACGAAGCTATATTCGGGAAAGATGATGATGACCAATGATTTCGAACTAACATGAACCTCAAGATGGCTACACCCACGTAACTACTTTGACTATGTCCACGCTCGACACACCGTAATGGGCATCAAGGACTGGCCTCGTCTGATGAGGCGAACATTGGAGTACGTTTCTTTCTTTCTTTCTCTTTTATCCCCTACCTGCGTCTACTTACCCCTTCATCCAGCCCGCTAACCGAGACCCATTTCTTTCAACTAGACACCTCCGACCAGGCGGCTGGTTCGAAATGCAAGAAGTTGTTCACTTCCCCGTCTCCCTGAACGGCCCCATGCCGGCCGACCACCCCCTGGCTCAATACTGGGCTGTAGTCCGCGATGGTCTCGCTGCCCTGGGTGTCGACTTCCATGCTGCGGCCGGCGGCAACCTAGCACAAATGATGCGCGAGGCTGGGTTCGTGAATGTCACGGAGCGCATTCTACAGATCCCTATCGGAACCTGGCCCAAGAATAAAGTGCTGAAAACGGTGGGGCTGTACTGGCGCACGATTTTGCTGGATGGCATCCAGGCTATTGCACTGGGGCCCCTTACGAGGGGTTTGAGATGGAGCAGAGAACAGGTCGAGATGTTTTTGATTCAGGTTCGAAGGGCGTATCATGATAACTCGGCGTTGTTGTACATGCCGTTGCATATTGTATATGGGCAGAAGCCCGTGGCGGGGAGTTACTGAGTGAGCGGGCTGGGGTTTACTGGAATAGGATGGGATGGAATTGATCCATGAATGGATGAACGAACGGATGGACGAACGGATGGATGGATGAGGCGGGTAGATGGGGGCGAAGAGAGTTTTTTTCTCCTTTTTTTTTTTTTTTTTTTTTTTTTTGGATAGGTTCGACGATTGGGTGGATGGATCAGTGATTCATTGATGATCGCATTGCAAAAGGACGGACGGCCGGATGGAGGTTTACACAAGGATGGCTTTTGTTTTTGTTTGGTTATGATCTCTTCCCCGTTATCATCTTGTGCTTTAAGATACCACTGGCGACGTTTTCTGGTCAGAATTCTATTTGCGCATTTCCTTCACCCTCAAGGTCCAGCTATCTTTTGATGTGGTTACTTGTGATCAGCATGCATGGGGAAACAGATCGAAACACAGAGGAGTGTATAAAGAGAAAAGAATATATGGACGAAATGTCCCGGTCCGTACGGATGGAAGCCAGAGAAGCTCAAGACACAAGTGGCACACTCTCGTCCCTTCTTCTTGTCTTTTCTTCATCTCCTCGCTTTTCACAGTCGCAGTCCACGATCTACATGACCTATTAGTGTACACTACAGATACACCGGTCGTCATCGCCTTCGAAACCTCTCATCCACACCACACCAAAAGCCAGACTGCTGTTGAACTCATTGGAGCCCCTGCAGAGGGTATCATCGCTTGACCATTGCTTAGGTTCCCCGAGCATCGCTATTGCTCCCCTCCTGACCCTTCAGATACAAATCCCAACTCGGAGTTGAAAACACCGCATTGAACTTTCCCAGGTATCATGTCCTACTCTCGAGGCGTGGTGTGGCATGGCGTTGTCGCTGGTGTGCCCCTGGTGCCGAGTGGTCAAAGTAATAACAGATGGTCTAGATTCAATATCACCACTGTAGTCTGTCCTTTTCTTGCACAAAACTAACCTAGACGTCCAATTCAATGACTTATCATTCTTATAAGTGGAAGCCGCAAGCGAACTTGCAGGGGGGGAATATCCACATTGAACCTCGAATTCGCATGCAACGGTTCGGCAAAAAAAGAAAAGGGGGTTAAGTTGTCTCCACCAATGCAGCCGAACGCGATCGCAAAATGCAAGTTTCGTTGTTTCTTCGGCTCCAGTCATTCGCTTCCCCACAGCAGCAGTAGTAGCGTACTAGTAGCGTTCGTTAGGACTAGCTTCTCACTGGTCCGACAACTTGCTTATGTTTTTCCTGGACCCCCCCCCCCCTCCCCTGGATCTTTTCTGACCATCGCTTCACCTAGCTTTGGTCAAGGTCGCCTATCATCGCCAACCCTGTTGACGACATGTGGGCTAGATCTAGAAGCTAGGGGATATTTTCTGATACAAGGACGCCCAAATTCAGCCATCAGCATAGCCGTACCGCAGTCATCACATCACTACATCGCATTATTTCTTCATGTTGGTGTGTACTTGGAAGCCGAAGGTCACATACAGTTCGTGGTCTTCCATGTCTATGACTTCGGTCGCCCATGCGTATCCCACCGTTACCGTTGGAAACTCGGGTGGACGACGGGATAGCCCAGAACGAACGTTTTCCATACACGCAGTACATTATGTACCTTGATAGGTACATACCTGCATATACACTACATACTGTGTAGGCTACGTGTATGTACACTAATGGATAAATCATTGACGACGTTCTTTCAAAGTATTTAGTTGACTCGGATATAGCGTAGTTGATATTCGACAAGTCCACAAGAAGGAAACTGGAGATCGGATGTTAGAACGAAGATGAAGTGGGTAGAGTGAACAAGAATGAAGATAGTACGTTGTCCCCTTGTTAAGCCTAGCCTCACTAGCGACCGATGTCTCCTCCCTCACACGTGGCACCCGCCCACCTACTCGGCCCCTTGGTGGCTTGTTCTGAGCCATTGAAACATGCGATTCGATGCTTTTTGCTTGGTACTCGTCTGGGCTAGAAACGCCTCACAGACCCATTGCGTAGCAATGGGTCTGGTAGATGGATTCGCGAAAATTTTAGTACTTCCCCACCCGTACAAATTAGCAATATAACCATATCTTACCATTATTATAGAAATTACTGCATTCGTGCATATAATATCGCTCAATTCGTTAAATATTCCTGTATTCAACTAGCAATTTAACAAAGCAAGGTCAATATTATTATCCTCGCTATCACCACCTTATTGAACCTCTACCACTAAATCTTCCACCGTAGAATCTAACTATATACTAGAATTCTACTCTTTAACTAGATTAGAATTAGGCAATTCCTAATTATAGCCCGGTTTATAGTAATATATACTAGTATTAACCTTACGCAACACCTCAATATATTCTTCCTATATTAATTTATAAAATTAGTCCTTATCCTTCTCTTCTTTAAATAGAGGGAGCTTATTATCTTCAACCTTAATAACTAATTCCCTACCCGTAACGAAGGCAGTAATAACCTCCTCAACAATAGTTTAAATAGGCTTATTATAAATCTATAGTATTATTAGTTTTGGGCGGTTACCCAGCGGCGCCCAATAGAGGGGAAGGACTACATCCTTCTCCGGTCTACCTAGCCGTGTAGCCTCTATTTGAATAGCTTTTTATTTTACTTTTAAGAAGTGTCCCTATTGTATTCGCTGTATAGATTAGTACTAATTTAATAATTGAATCTAATCTTTAATTTTATTTAAAATAAGGTTAATTACTATATTTTAATCTATACGCGATTTACCCACAAGTTATAATTCTACCCTCTTATTCTAGGCTTTATTCCATTACTCGGTTTTATATATATTTAACTACCTTCTAAAGGTAATACGTTTAGTATTAAAATCTTTCTTATATTAGTATTACTTCTCTCTATTATGTAATTTAATTCTATAATATTTATTTACTACTATATAAAAACGAATATTACTAACCTTAATAAGACTAGTACGAATAATAAGATAATTAATTGTACGGTTCTCTCTTTAAATTACTTCCTCTAATTACCGCTGCTTCTTATATTATTGTACTTCTATACTAGTAACCCCTATTAATATAATTACTTTAATAGATTTATCTCTCTTAAATATAATATATTTAGTAACGGGATTGAGGGGCGTCTTTACTATAATAGATTTAAGTAAGCCTTATTAAATATATATATTGTACTCTAATATTATAGCTATATTAAGAGGGGGAATTATTACTGTTACCTAATCCTTTTTAGACTTTAGTATTTGTAAGGGTATTATGATATTATAACCCTTGGAAGGATCTTTAGTACTATAATTTTCGAATTATTAGTACAATATTAAGATTATAGGTTCCTTCTCCTTCTCTTATACCTTGTTAGGAGGCTAAGGGGTAACCGCCGGGGAAGGGATGCTACGGTACTATAATACTGATGTGCTATTTCGTTTGATTAAGCCCTTACCTAGAAGTATTACAACGACCGATGCCCTCTTTTGCCTAACTAGTCTTCGGCCTAATAGTATTAGAGTATTTAATAAAATGGGTTTGCGGGAAGGATAATCCGGCGCTACATTATAGCGGTACGTTAGTATAGGACTCTATAATTATTAGCTACAATAGAGTAGAGTTTATATTAGTATAAAAGAGGTTCGAAGGAGCTTTATTCTTTATAGTCGGTAGCTATTAATATATCTTTAAGTTGACTCCTAATTTACTATTCTTTATATATAGCTACGACTGTAGTTATTTTAGCCTACCTTCCTCCTACTGTCATAGGGCTAGCCTGTGTGCCTTGTGCCTGGTGCCAGCGTACAGCAGCTTCTAAGACCGCCGTACGCTATTATTACCGCCGGCAAGCTAGCTATTGCCGGCAGTTGATTGGTTAGAGCGCTACCTGCCGCGGGTCCGCAGACCCGCCGGCGGTCGTCCTCATAAGGCTAGCCTTCTAAGCACTCAGCTATATACTTCTCTTCCTTTCTCCTTCGTACAATTACGCATATTCACATCTACCTTTTACCTATAATAATTAATTACACCTTTTAATTATTACATTTATAGCGCAAACCTATTTTCTTTTATCGCGCAATTAATCTTCAATCTACGTACGTACAGGAACCGCCTCATTTACCGAACCGCCGAGTCTAGTACTAATACCAATAGTCGTAGTTACAATAATTATAATTATAGTCTCGTTCCCTTTATTTAATAAATAAGGGTAAGTACTTTTCATTTAAGGGATAAGAGACTGTTTCGCGCGATTACCTTTCTTATATTTTATAATAAGAGTAACGACTATGCGTCCTTCTCTCCCGTTAGTAGTACTAATGACCTTATTAATTTCGGTACCCCTCCTAGGAGTATACTATTTAATTTGAATGATATTTATAAAATATTCGACGAAATTATTAATACTACTAATGTTACTGTCTATTAAGCCGCGTTTGTAAAACTTCTTCCTTCAATAGTAATTAACGACCTTCTTATTAGTATTAGCAATAATAAGGAGAAGAAAATTATCCTTTACACTTACTTCAATATAATTAATATTATTACTTAAGACCCCGCCTTCTATTTAATTATTGCTCTGTTCGGTCGTCTTTACTATAACAATTTCGCTTAATATAAGGATATTACTATCAATTTCAAACGTAGCAAAAATAAATTAAAGACTGTCCGTACAATAATTATTAAAAATTAAAACGATTTTAATTAAAAGAACTTTAATTATTTTAATTTAATAATTAAATTTAACACTCTTTAAAAGAAATACAATAACCTTAATATACATTATATTACCTTCAAATTTTATAGTACTAATATTAGGTCCTTATATAATAACCTTACTAAAATAATTAGTATTAGTACTAATAAAATATTATTATTAAAATAAATTATAGAAAACCCGCCAATCTTTACTAGTAAGGAGAATATTAGTACCGTCCGTAAATATAAAATTTTTAAAATATAGTATTTCTATATTTTATTCTAATAAAAGTACGACCCCCTCCTCTATATTAACGAGGATATTAAA